ACTGTGTAGTTGGTGTCAGCGTCTATCATTATCCGTGTTGTGCAGGGACGGATGCGGGCTGGGGCAAATTACGGTTAGTGTTAGTCTCAGTGTCAGCGCTGTCTCAGTGTCGCTATTTAGATATTGTGTCAGTGTTAGCATTCAGCATTCAACATCCATATTGACGTGTGTGTTTATATCGGGCCCGGTGATTTGACAGTGGCATTGATACCTGATTCTGTGATCTTGCATTCATACCTGACGCGACAGTCTAAATATGGATGGAGTAGGGCTCGGGTGGCAGCGACAGCCGCTGGGATCCCCCGGGAAATCACCGACAGACCCCGGCTCCAGCCACCGCCGCCGGCGGTACCGCTCTGTGGGCTGAACAGATGACCGTCAACGCGGCAGGCAAAGCAGCTAGATATAGGGCCTGGGCAGCTAGTGAAGCTATTTGGTACGGGATGAAGTGACATCTGTCTGACTTTGTCGCCTCCGACAGTGACAGGCCCTGGCCACTCTGAGTGCACAATCAGGCCTATTCGAAGTTATTGCTCACGTCTCAGATTTGGTGTCTCACAGAAATGACCAAACTCAACCTGTCCTCACATGTAGACTCTGCTGAATGCAACGCATTATTTGTACTCTCCACGACTTCTATCGCGATTCCATATTCTCCTGTTTCCAAAATATGCGCTGCTGAAGGCCCTGAAGTCATTCCTCCCAAGTATTAGTCTTTCCCACTCCTACCCTACTTCCCTTCTTTCCAAACTCGTCAGACACCTTCGCCCAGGCTCTCTCTGAGCTGCCCAGTTACCGCCGCCAGGCTCTCTGTGAGCTGCTAAATTACCGCCGCCTAAGCTCTCTAAATTCCTCAGTTGCCGCCGCCCACCGGTCTCGGTGCACGAGTTCCGGGCTGTTCGCCGAACTCCTCCTTATAGCTCTGTCGTCAGGCGTCGAGGGATTCTTCCGCGGCTGCGGAGCTTCAACTGAGGGAGGCGGCTGCTCTACCAGGGAAGCGGACGCCTCACAGGGCTTTAGATCGTGGAATGGACCGAGATCTGAGGGCTGGTAACGCCCATCGCGACATGAGGTGTCCTCTTTGAGGGAGACTGCTCCGGAATCTCACAGCAGGTAGAGAGAGCTGGCTCGGAAATGGGCGTGGTCTTGTTCCTTGTACCGCACGAGCGAAAGGAGGAGGCCACTGTCTCTTCTATCCCCGAACCTAACCAACCAGACTACAGGAGCGAAGTATGCATTGCCATGGGAGCACCTCAGGGGGCGTTGTTGGCGCAATACGGAAACTGCTGGTCAACCAGCGGTGAGTGGGTCCTGTCGTGCTCGTGGGCTGTGACATTGCCAGTTACACTAGATCGGTGTGCGCATAGCGCTGGGGCGGGCACTAAAAGTGGGACGTTGACCAGCACTGGAAGACGTGATTTATGACGTAGGCTTGCCCTCTGTGATACTCTGGGTCATTGGAAGTTGTTTGGACTGGCTCTAGTATCCCAATGCAATTTACTGGACTTTTTAAGCGATGTCTTGAAATAGGCTTGGTGTTCCCTTTGATGTCCTGAGTGTATTCTCTTTCCAATATTGTTATCATGAGAGCGTATGATTCAAGATCTGAGATCCGTTATTTCATTTGGATGGCTGAGGTCCTTTGGCATTACCCTAAATCAGCCTCTCGGCTTCCATGGACCGCTCGTTGTACAGAGCCTACGACCACTCCGCGACTGCCACTCGGCGACTGGCTGGGCCTGCTGTGGGCCGCAGTGGCTGTCGGGAGGCCTCCCGTCGTGGCACTACCACGCTCCCGCAGCTGGCACTGTTTGTATCACGGGTAGCGGTTCAACTCCCGAGACGACCAGGGGCCCGGCAGGGGCGGTGGGGGCGGCGTCTACATAGACTGGCAACAAGGGTAGCGGGACTGGCGAGACTGGTAGTGGAACTGGCGAATGACGCGGGCGGTAGCTGGGGTGGCTGGTGGGAGTTTGCAACCTCAAGGGCTGTGTGGTGTCCTTCTCTATGTGCTAAATTTGCCTTGTGCTTTTTGAATGTTTTTTGATGGATTATTATTATGTGGTGGCAGGTGGGGTGCACTGTTAACAGCAGGAAATTGCTGTGGTGCTTATAAAATAGTATTCATTTCTTGTTGCATTTTATCAGGTCTCTATTAATTTAGGAGGCTGGCCGAACTGGCGACCACTGGTTGTTGGTTCTGTTATTTATGCTGGAAATTCAATTAACACTGATTCGTTATGACGAAACACTGGGCTGTATGCATTCCATATGCATACAAATTCCATTTTGACGAGTCGTATAAACACAGCCTAGTTGCTGGTCGCCTTGTAACCTACATCTTCTCACAAGGGTCAACTAACAGTCAACGCTCTGTACAACGCTGTATTTTGCTGCTGTTGACCGACTTTTAGCGCAATCGTCGTATTTTGAGTACACCCCTGTCATACACCGCACGGATCCCCACATGAATTATTGTCAAACCCTGGCTTCATTCTGCTGTCTGTGTCACCGTTTGTTGGCCACCGCGTCGCTCTGGCCTATGTTGCTTCCAATGAATATCTCGTGTTTGATTTCAGCGCCTGACTATTCCAATATCAGCATAAACGGTCCCCAAATCAAGCTCTGCCGGGACACCATTGCCATTGCAATGACCGAGCGCCCCTAGAACTTCATCATCACCATCAAGCTATGTGTAAACTGATGTCGCATCCCCTCCTTTGCTGACCGTCACTTCTTCCGCAGGTGTTGGAGGACAACTACTACGGTCGAGCAGTGGACTGGTGGGGCATCGGCGTCGTCATGTACGAGATGATGGTGGGCCGGCTGCCCTTCTACAACCGCGACCACGAGCGGCTCTTCGAGCTCATTCTCGTCGAACAGGTAATTGAGTGGATGAGGGAATGGGAGGGAAGCGGAGATGAGGGAGAGGGATGCTGGTGTGGAATGTATGGTGACCCGGGTAGCAGGAGAATGATTAATACCGTCTTTTCAGAGGGGCGGGTGACAGCGAATAGGAGATTAATCTGATCCGTTGTTTTGCGTCATATTTGTGTTTTCGTGTTTTTAGTATGAATAAATTACCCTCCCTTTGACGAAACACGCTTCAACAGCTCCCGCACACTTCTGCTATGTCCTCCCCACGCTTTTCTCTCCCATGATGACCGACCCCCGCCCGTCCCCATACTGACTCTGTCCCCCCTCTTTTCACCAGGTGCGGTTCCCTCTGTCGCTGAGCGACATGGCCCAGTCGCTACTGCAGGGCCTGCTTCAGAAGGACCCGGCGCGGCGGCTCGGCGGCGGCCCGCGAGACGCCGAGGAGATCAAGGAGCACCCCTTCTTCTCGCCCATCAACTGGGAGGACCTCGAGGCGAAAAAGGTGAGGACTGGCCGCGGGCTGGGTAGTTGGGCACTGAGGGGGAAGATGGGCATTGACTTGCGTTACGAAAAAGGTGTTAAGCTTTTGTTAGTTTGATTCAGAGGAATGTGATGATTTATTTTTTTGTTGATGTAAAACAATCGGCCTGGCGAACTCCATGTGGACTAACAGCTCGTATGATTGTCTTGCTTATGAATTACAAGCGGAGTAATTCGGAGTTCTTTCGGGAGACTGGCTCAAGAGCGAAGTGAGATGTGCTCGCGCACTTTTATATTATTATCTGGTTGTCCAAGACATGCTCAACAGTCAACTACGGCTTGATCACGTCCTGACGACCTCGCCGATTGCCACCGTTTTGCTATACGCTTGCACCTGGCCTGACACTGTCTCTCCGCCAGATCACCCCACCGTTCAAGCCCCAAGTGGAAAGTGAGACCGATACGCGGTACTTTGACTCCGAGTTCACCGGCGAATCGGTGGAGCTCACCCCTCCGGAGAACGCGCCGCTGGACGCCATCACGGAGGAGCCCGCCTCTTACTTCACCGCCTTCAGCTACCAGGACTCGCCGCGATAGGTGGCGCCACCCGCCGCTATAGGTGGCGCGGCGGGCTTTGGTATAGGTGGCGCTGTCGTCGGCCTGTGATAAACTTGCTCCACGGCGGGGGCGGTTTGTGCTGGGAGCGCGGTGAGCTGGCGCGGTGCGGTATCGTCCGGGCCGGGGCGGTGCGAATGAACTCGCCGCTCGACGGACGGTGGCGTGTCTGGATGCCAGACCCGCCTCCCCTCCCCTCCCTCGGCCCCGCTCCCGCCCCATGTTGGCTCGGCGACCGGTTTTGTTTGTCTGAATCATGTGTAGTTTTAATCGGATGGCCTCGACACTGAGGCCGGCGGGCTAGCCGCCGATGTCTGTTGCCGGCACGAACTGCGTGTGTCTGCGTTCGTGCGAACGTATACAGTGTCTGTGTGTCTCTGTGCGCCCCTCCCCGCTGTTCCCCTTCCCCCAAGATGGCGGCCAACTGGACACTGGAACTCAAGAGCGCGACAACACAGGGATAAATGCACTCTCTGACAGTGGACCTAGTGGATGATGAGCGTGCGTCCGACCGCCGCGGCTGTTATGAGTGGAACGGTGGTTCGGAACTGTGGACGCCGCGGGCGCTACACTAGTGCCACCTATTTGTGGCAATTTGAATTAGCAGCGCCACCTACCGGACGGTGGTCTTCGCGCCCGCGCTAAAGGGCATGAGGGTATGTTCGTGAATGAACGAGTGCGAACGTGTAAGTGATACGCGGGTTAGTCAGAAGTGGTTTCCTTGTGTGAAATGTTCCCGTATATTGCGTATACTTCAGCAGAACTGTCCTCCATGCCAGTCAAATACAATGGAAGCTGCCGTATGATGCATGACTTTAATGTTGTCCGTGGTTCTATGATGGTTGCAGGCTGCACCTGGCTGTGGAACCTGGAAACGTAAGCGTATAGAAACTGCGGGGCTAGACATGATACTGACATGCTCGCACCTCCACAAATGAGTGATGTAAGGGATGTTGTTTCACTTATTGTCTCATTGTTTATCGCTAACACTGCCGTTCGCGTCAGTCACAGACTCAAACCAAATACTGTTACCCGGTCATTATTTTATTTGGTTCGGTTAATACCGCTCCGACGGATAATGTATGGTACACAATAATGCTACGGTATAAATTCGGGTGCAACACATCACTAGTCTCCCGACATGACGACATCTACCGTCTCAGATAATGCCGTTTTCACCGTTTCGTCAGTCATTTCACCAATAATCTCACTTCGCCCAGCTTATTTAACGCTGGGAGGTTCATATCGCCACTACGCAATGCCATGAACCGGCGAGACTTGGAAATTTCCCTACTCGACAACCCTTACTCGAACAAAGTCCCGGGACACGCCTCGGCTTGCAGCCTGACGCTAGTAGCTCGTAGGTTGTTGCTCATTGTCCTAGATGTCGCTCGTGGTGACCCTGCCTGCCTCCGACCCACAGGGCGGGCGACGGCTCACAGCTGTTCCAGTGGCACATCACGGCTACTTCGGTGATGATCACAGCTGCTTTTCTATCCATTCGACGTAGTCCCTGACGCGGGTGTAGACGGCCTCCCTGATTCCGCAGGTGTGAGTGCCGAACGACGTCACTCCGACCAGGTACCAATGAGTGCCGTGAGGGCCTGCGGGTCAGTCACACACCGGTCAGTTGTCAGACACTCTCACCAGGTACCAGTGAGTGCCGTGGGAGTCTGAGTGCCGTGGGGGGTCTGCAGGTCAGACATCAGTCAGTAGTCACGATCACGACACTCCGACCGGACCTCAGTGAGTGCCGTGGGGGCTGAGGGTCAGTCACACACCGGTCAGACACTCCGACCAGGTACCAGTAAGTGCAGTGAGGGCCTGCGTGTCAGACATCAGTTAGTAGTCAGACACTCTAACCAGGTACCATTGAGTGCCGACGGCCTGAGGGTCAGTCATACACCGGTCAGGAGTCGTAGCGGCTCGAGTGGCCATTCTGGCGGAGCAGTGGAGACTGGAGACTGGCTGAAGGCAAGGGGGAGGGGGCAGAGAAGCTTAGCGGCCTCTGCCTTCCTCACTTCCCACTCCTCCCACTTTTCCCTTGACAAAAAAAGCCCGTTCTCTCACTCACTGTGCGTCATCAGCGGGCCACCGGAGTCGCCCCGGCAGGTGTCCACGCCAGTACCCTCGCCGGCGCACAGGCGGCTCCCGAAGGCGGCCGTCAGGCTGCGTCTGTAGGTGTTCTCACACCTCTCCGGCGCCACTATACGGATGCTGGCCTCCTGCAGCTCCGGGGTGAAGCTCTCCGCTGTCGGCGACAGGACACGGTTGTCACAACTGTGAGGGTTAGGATGTCACTCGCTTGTTGCTTCGTCCTCAGACGTTCAAGGCTGTCGCCATGGCCAATCACAAACCTTTCAGTCGTTCCTAGTCACTCTTACTCATCCATACTCCATAGTCACTCAGTTATTTAAACATTTACAGCGATTTGCTGGAGCTCTCTGACCAGCACATACTGCTAATTAGCCCCAGCCACTCTCAAGAGTCCACAGACCGTCCCCAGCCACTCACAGGAGTTCGCTAATCGTCCCCAGCCACCCACAGGAGTTCTTTAACCGTCCCCAGCCACTTACAGGAGTTCGCTGACCGTCCCCAGCCGGTGATGAAGACGCGACTTCCAATGGTGTCGTCGGCACCTCCCCGCAGTCGGGCCAGGTCGACGGGCAGACAGACCGGGCGGACGAAGTCGGTGAACGGTTCAGCAGAGCGAGCCAGGCGGATCACGGCTATGTCGTGCTCCAGGGCGTTCCCGAAACGGCCCTGCGAGGGTGTCGGAGTGGTGTTAGGGGGTCACTGTCAGGTTTGTCTCTCCTTGATCTCAATAGCTTTTGGTTTTGCGTTCGGTGTCAGCGCATGGTGGCGGGTGCGGTTCAGTTCGCTTATGAGCAGGGGTCAGGCTGTTACAATTTGTGGGTTGCTGTAAAGCCGAAGTAGAAATGCATGAATTTTAGACCTCCATGAAATTAAATTAACGATTTATCACGAAATCACGTTCAAATCACGACGCCGCGCCGGACCGTAGATTAGTGCTTTATGTTGGTACCAGCGGCAAGCGATCCGTTTCACGCACCTTGTAGAGCTCGTGGGGCCGGGTGCTCTCGATACGGATGTCCCTGAACCGGTCGGCGCAGTGACTCCGGTTGAACGGCAGACAGTCGGGATCGGTGTTGAAGTCCAGCTCGCCGAGACGGACCACCAGACTGAAACGGTACAGACGCCGTAGGACGTAGCCGTCAGTCGTCCGCCATAGATGAAGTGGCTCAGCAATATGGATCGACCGATGCTATCAGCTCCAGGCGCGGATACAAGGGGGGGGCATGGGGGCCATGCCCCCCCCCCTTGGCCGATTTTTTTCCAAAATAAAATAAAAAGTTAAAAAGTTAAAAAGCTGAAAAGGGGGCCTCCTGAAAATAAAGTGGCCGAAATCCGATGAGTTTTTTTTTTTTTAACCTACCCACTTAGTTATTTCTTAGAAGACTAGCTGAGAAGACTTCTTTGTTAGAAGATTGGTAAAGCTTTTCATAACTTGGAGGTCTCTTATACTCACAGAGATGACCACTTTTACAGGGCCTCCTAACCTGCACAGAGGGCCTCCAAGCCTGCACAGATGTTGAGATGTTGCCTGAACAGCTAGATAAGCTCAATAGACGCAGTTTTTTTTTTGGGGGGGGGCCCAACAAGTGGGAAGATGGGGCCTCCAACAGGTGGGATTATGGGGGGGGGGCCTCCTGGTTTCTAATGGCCCCTCCCTTGGAGATTTTCTGGATCCGCCCCTGATCAGCTCTTATATTGATAAACGGTATGATTTAATAAAATGTTTGCCTCCTGGTTCATATTTTAATTTAAATCGATCGACTTTTTATTTAAACACGACTTCTATTTATAGCCAGATTCTCATTTGATCTCATTGGGGATTGCTAGTGCAGAGTTAGCAGAGACTACTGAAAAAATCCATTGCTTTTCTAATCTGTCAAAATATTTTGATGTGAAAACGATTGCAAACCCCTCCCCCCCCCCCCACCACCAACTGCCACGACCTACAGGAAGTTGGATACGACCTTGGACTCGAGCTGTACTTATTGTTTGTACTTTGCCCCGCGGCGATACAATGGACCACGTGACCAGTCACCAGTGCCGGTACCGGCCTCTCGACCAATCAGAGCTCTGAGTCAGCTGACTGACACGTACGAGTACGACGCGATGTAAACCAAATGTAAACTTCCGCCTCGTACGGTCAGTGTGAGGGGAGTGGAGTGGAGTGGGGGAAATGGATATATCATATAAGTGTGGCCAATTTTGGTAATTGTGCGTTGGTGAATTGCGTTACGTATTTGTGTAGCGTTCGTGGTTCTCGCGGTGTGATATTGTGCTGTTTTGTAGCGATGTTGCCAAACTTGAAAGTGCGTGGTTTTCGTTGCGATAACTCAAACTGAAGAACTGAGGGACGCGCTGCGAATTGTTGCGCAGAATGCGTTCACGGACAGTGGTTCCTGTTGGACGACATGAGAAGGGAGTGCTCTTCGCGAAAATGAGTTGAGTGGGAGTGAGTCGTTGGACGTAGGCCTAGATCAAAAGTCAGATCGATCAGCTTAGTGTAAAGAGACTAGTGACCAAGAAGCGTGCCAGTGCTGGCCCGTTGCCGCGCGAACGTCAAACCAAATTCAGGTTGAGGTTGACAACGGGAGAGATATTCTGCCTGAACTGGAACTGGATCGCCGACAAGGTAAGTTCTGAGAAATCTTATGAGACTGTAGCTCTAAATGTCTAGTCCTTCGCAATGGATACCAACCTGAACCATGTTTCGCCGTGACCCAACCCACTCACCGTTCGCTACGCTTTGCTAAGATTCATCGTGATCGGTTCACGATGGGTCCAGACTCCAGTGTTTCACGCATTAGCGTCGCCACGGGGGGGCAAGCGGGGCAGCTTGCCCCCCCAACCTCGGACCGGGCACCCCCTGAGATCGATACAGATCCGATGAGATTTTTGAGTCGGGAAAAATGGGGGTACCTTTCTGAGAATGCCTGTGAGGTCAGACTCGGTTGGAGCGTGCAGTTCAAACCAGAGTCTGACTCGCAGTTGCCAAAATCTTCAAGACTCCGAGTCGAGACTCGGAAATGTCAATGCTGTGATTCGTTCCATGTTCCTAGTTCGTTCTTTATTACACTTTACAACTGATTTTCATAAGTTTTGGAGTGCTCACACAACTTACGTTCAAAGCGTGAAACGAAACCTTCGGGGCCTTTCTCAACTCTCGTCAAATGTCTGCGACATGCTCAAGTACCGTACAAGTGTCGCAGGGCTCATGAGCTTGCTTTAAAGGGACCCTCCCACCTTCAAAAAAGTCAATGAATTGGCATGAAAGTGATGTCGCTCGGTTCAGAAAGAGCAAAAACGAATATCTACCAAATTTCATCGAAAAATATTCACCGGTTTTCAAGATATTAGACTTTTACTTTTGTTTACTATTTGGGATCTCCGCTGTTCCTAGCGACTTTATTTGAAAGTGCGGCATTTGTTGCGCGCAAAGCAGCATATACCACCGCGTGCTACAAAACGTTTTAGTCAAACATTTAACGGACGTTCGAAAGCCTGATGACGTCATCAGACTCCCGTAATGGTTAAGAGATAGGGACTAAGCTGGTCCCACCCTGCAAGTAAAGGGAAGAAATTTCTTGAACACCATAAAGCTGCGGGGGTTGCGACCAGGATATCCGAAGGTTGGGACTTTTCAATTAGACAATCACTATTCTTTAGAATTGTGATTTTCTATTGAAAATCCCAACCTGAGCTACCTCTCTAGGGGGGTGTTTAGCGTTTCTGCCGCGATTTGGGTCATTTTGATCGCCGCCGAAACGGCTCGGTAGATTTTCTTGCCATTTTCAGCGTTTGGTCCCGTGTGGGGGAGCTACCGGCTGGTACCGGTCGCTTGAAATATAATTAACCCGTTTTGGGGTAATCGGCACGTGCATTTTCCCATAGGGTTAACATGGGGAAAAATTAAAAATGCGATTTGCGCAAAATCTGTTCAGTAATATTTGTCCACTTTTTTAGGGTCAGTTCTTGGGCTGGCACCTCACCTTCTGGGGGTAATTATTTAAAAATCATAGGGTACAGTTTCGGGTAATCGTGACGGACAGTTACCCCATGTTGAGCCTATGGCGATTTCGAAAAATTATTTTCAAATCGATTTTGCAAAAAATTTCCACGTTAGATTTTGAAAATGTTCCAATATGTTGTGCCCCGGGGTGTCGGCTACCACATGGTATGGGTCAGATATGGGGCGATTGAAAAGCACGTGCCACGTGCAAACGTGTTTGATGGGGTAACCTCCGGGAAAATCCGACATTGTCCAACTGGGGGTCCTATGGCGCGGAAACGACTTCATCTAGCGACACCAAATCAATGCAGCCGGTGAGCAGATGAGTCCAGCTTGTCGCACCAGTGGTCACGTGGCGCACGTGCTATTGCACGTGCCGTGGCACGGGGTCAATTTTTGTTCTTAAATACACCAACATTGTGAAATGCAAGGAATGGGGGAAATAGCCGTCAGGCCGTCAGTTTTTATGATAGAGTCGATCTGAAAACGGGTGTAGACACAGAATGAACGGCGCTAAAAAACTGCTATCTCGGATTTTTTGTAAAACGAAAAATTTAAAATTCTAGGGAAATTATATATTAGAAAGGTGAAATTTCCCTAAATTTTCCCGTTTTTCAAGTTTAGCCGTCCACTGTTCAGTGACGATGACACCGGCCGGGGTCATCTTTTACATGCTAATGGCCACGTCGATGGGTCATCACGTGGCGTGAACGGTGAAGCTGTCAGAGGTCCGGCACGTGCCACGTGGCCACGTGTTTGAGTCACGTACCTCCCAGATTATCGTGTGTTTGCCGACTTGTGGCCTTATAGCACGAAAACAGCACCAGTCAGGAAGCCTGAAAGGGCACAATCGGTGAGGGGACAAGTCCTGCTTGTACCACCGGTGGTCACGTGGCACACGTGTTCAGCTGGGCTCCTCCTTTGCGGAGATATTTTATCGTGAAATATTCAAATGTCCATAACTTTCTCAAATATGGTCCGATTGGGTTCAAATTTGGTGGGTGGCTGCATTGTTAAGCGTCAATGACAACTGAGCCGCGTTTGATGCACCGCGCCACATTTGTCATTATGCGCCATAATCGCCCGAAATCGCAAAATGTTTGTAACTTTGTCAAACATGATCCGATTTGGATTCAATTTTGGGGACGGATGCACAACACATACAAAGGACTGCCCTTGCCGCAATGCGCCACAATTGTAACAGTGCGCCATTTATGCCGCAAAACGCACCAGTCCACAACTTTGCCAAATAGGGGCAACACTATTCGACCGCCACCCTTGCAGCATTCTATAACTCAGGAACCACTGGACCGATCGGGATGAACGAAACACCATTCGAATTAGGGGATACGATTTTGTCAGCCGTTTCGATGATGATGACCTCAAGTGACCTGCACCTGGGTAACCTCAAAAGGTCAACTTGGCATTAGCCGTTTTCACGACGGGCTATCCGGCGAGTGCACCTTATTTGACCAAATCTGCACGTAATCTCTGGTGCAGCAAATATCTTCATTTTATGAATTTATAATTTTAATCGATGATACTCTCTGATATGACAAAGCAGGCCTAGGTATAAGTAATTATTGCAACCCTAGCTGATAGCTACTAAGAGATACACTGAACCTAATTTGACCAAATCTGCACCTAATCTGCACCAAATGTGTATCAGATGGCCGTCGTGAAAACGGCTATTGACGCGCCTATTGCAGCCATTCTATAACTCAGGAACTACTGGGCCGATCGAGACGAAAACGCCACCAGTCGACTCAGCGTATGCGATTTCATCAGCCGTTTCGAAAATGGTGATCTCAGCCTCTCAGGTGACCTCGGTGACCTTGGGAGGTCACATGACCGTTGTCGCCTATGGCAGCCATTCTATAACTCAGGAACTACTGGGCCGATCGATGCTTGCATGATGCTGCGTGATGCTGCGTGATTGTCGTATCAAAGAGCCCTCAGCAGGCCGCAAAGGGCTCTCAACTGACGTCAAACGGCCCTACGAAGGCCTCAAAGGACTCTTAGTTGGTGTCAGAGGGCCCCCAGCAGGTGTCAGAGGACCCTCAGCTGACATCAAATGGCCCTCAGCTGGCGTCAAATGGC